GAACGGCCCGTTCTGGGCCAATCTTTTATGTGCAAATTATGCTCCCTGGAACGACCCATTCTGAAAATAGAACGGCCCGTTCCAGAGTGGAAATAAACACAAAATTCCCCTTTCCAGAACGGCCCCATTCCAAATTTAACATTCTTTGGAACGGCCCATTCTGGTACTGGAACGGCAACGGGCCGTTCCACTTTGGGAACGGGCTGTTCCGGATGAGGTTTTAGAGAACAAGTATTGACCCCAGAACGGGCCGTTCTGGTTTTGGAATGGGTCGTTCTGGGAGAGGTTTTTGTACATGTTTTATTTGTACAGAACGGGCCGTTTCGGATTCGAAACAGGCTGTTCTGGCCGCGGCCTGATGGCTATAAATAGAGCGTTTTGCACTCTCTAAAACTCATTGTTCTTCTTTTTCTAGTTTTTTTCCTCCGTTCTCTTTGAAGACGAGGTGGAACCTAGAGGGGGCGACCAACAAGATTTGGCTCCTGCTTATCGAGGTAAGGGGGGAGTGAGAAACCTCGCTCTGGGTGTGAGATTGTATGCTAGGTAGTGGGATTGGCCCCCAATACTGTGTTTGCTGTATTTTTGTATGCTCATGTATGAGGGGTTTCTCCCAATTGTATCTATTTTGCTTATTATTTTTTTTATATGCAATTAATTGTATGACTTGAGATCTCTATGGGTTCCTATGGGAAACCTTATGAAAAATAGACAAAATATAAATGTTTTCTGTTTTTTTATCAGATTGCTCTATTGTATTCCTTGTTGAATGTAATGCGTAAGTATGTGATTAATTTTTAGAAAAAATATGTTTTGATATGATTTAGAGTGCTCTATGGGTTCCTGCGGGAAACCCTATGAGAAATAGGCAAAATATGAATATTTTCTGTTATATTCCTTGTTTGATGAGATGTAAAAATATGTATTTAATTTTATAAATAAACGAGTTTTGATATAAATTAAAGTGCTCTGTGGAAGGTTTGTGAATATGATGAGATAATGTGATAATGTGATATGATGATGTAATGTAAAATGTGATTGAGACATGAGATATGAAATGTGATAATGAAATATGATGACGAAATGTGATGATGTGATATGACCATGGGAAATGATAATGTGATATGAGAATGCATAGAGTCTTGATTGACATGCATCATTTGCATAAGTGTCTTAAGGGTACGATATGGAATACACCGCCAGAGAAGGCCCCCTAGTGTAAAAGCTTTGGAGATTAGTCCTTGGGTATAGCTTGGTTTGGAAGTCCCAATCTCGCCCATTGTGTCCATGGGATGTATCTTGCGCGGCTTAGCTATCCCGACGAGACTCTGGTAGTATATCCTTCTAGTGAGAGCGCAGAGGGTGTGACCCGGCATGTACTCCTAGACTACTCTTCATGTATTGTTAGCGACAATATGTCATGTGATGTTTTAATGGCGCCATATGCATGATAATGTGAAGTCCGTGTCCATACATGTGCATCTTTATTGTTAAATGATGATAAATTACTATTTGTATGACTTGGATGATTGAATAAACTATTGTTGTTGATTGATCTATGAGGTAACTGTATTGTTTGTGTTTGGCTATCTGGTCTGCGTTCCTACACCGTGAGCCAGAGTGAGATGTTTCTCACTCCCTTCTTTTGTGTTGTTTCTCTTGTTTGATATACAAGAGACATTAGCAGCATGAGGCTGAGGTTGTGGATGATGGAGTTTAAGCTTCTATGTGGGATTTTGCTCTGATAGAATATGTAACATCGGGACATAGAGATAGAATTAGAACATGACATTGTTTACGATTTATTAAAGTATATATTTTGAAATTTTCAATTTTTATTCTTTGTAATTTTATTTACTATTTGAATTAAGGACATAAATGTGAATTCTTTATCACATGATTATTGGAATTTTCGTTTCAATTTTAAATATTTTTTTTATCCAATAAGATATTTCTTTTTTATTATTATGTATATTTATGTTGGAGTAGAGGATGTCACATTAAGTGATATCATCTTATTTTTTATTATGTATATATATGTTGGGGTAGAGGGTGTCACACTCCCCAGTCTTTATTCAAGTATTTTAGGTGTTGATCAACTGGCTCCACTATATATGACTGTCACTGGAACCACATTTTCGAAAATGCAAAGCAACAACTTAATTTGGATTTATGACAGCTATTTTTGGCAAGCCGGGAGAAGTACTCCTCCTCCCAAGGTTGCGCATGTGGCAACAGAGGTTGATACTATTTGCTGAATCTGCATGTAAAAATCCAGTGTCAAATATGGAAATCCAGGATCAAATATGTAGTGTACTTCTGTCTAGCAGTACTTAATGTAGAAATTATTTGTATTGGTTTTGGTTGTTTAATATATTGGTATAGTCACTTCCTTGGAACTTAAGTTTTGGTTGCCATGGCCTGTTTGTGATCTATCTATATTACCACTGCAGTAAATATGTATTAATACGCACCGCAATTTCCTTGAATTTGGCAGTCTTTTAATACATAGTGATAATTCAGACAATTTTTTCTATTCTAAAAACAAAATTGCAGGAATATCTCCAAAATTTCAAGTCAATTGAAATAAATTTCTGTGAGTATACTTCAAATGAAGGATGATACCTTCTATGATAATGCATTAATTGATGGTCGAGAAGCGAAAACTTTTTTCAAGGAAGTGCATTAGAAATTTGATCGCAAAATTTCAAGTCAGCTGTACTAAATCCACTTTTACAAGCCCCACTAGCTTCTTTATAATTTATAACAGAAGTTAACTCTTAAAAAGCATCCAAAATCTAACTCAATATTCATGAACAAACATTAAATTACATTACACTGCAACAAGTGATTCTTAGAAACCATTCAAGATTGTACTTCTTCACTGCCTTAGCTGGCAATCGTGAAACCAACCCAAACAAGACTAATTGTTTTAATTATCGCTGCGTGCTGCATAATATGTCTGTACCACAGTGAGACCTAGCAGCACGATAGCTGCCAACACTCCAATGAGTTTCCAAACCGTAGGGATATGTTCCTTGATCAAAATGCTGTACCAATTTTTCCAATAGAAAAGAATAATCGCAAAGAGACATCTGCACTGATGCCAAATTACAATAGGCCATTTTTTCAACATAGTTAATAGAGTCGTTGTCGTGTATTTGTTCAACTTGGCACAATCTTCGCTATAACTCGAATCCATGTGTTCAACTCCCTCACAGATCGTATGAAACAGCTTCAGCAAATCTTCATTACTTTTCTCGGATTCATTGACTAAAACCCCGACATGCTCAAGCAGTTCAATGTCATGGGGACAACAAATCAAACCTTGGAAGAACAATGCATACGAAGTCAATTTGCATCTGTTCCCAATCCTGCTTTGCTCCCAGGCGATCAAGTTCCTCCATTTGACTTCCGTTGACTTCTTAATATGCAGCTGAGGAATCTCCAACACCCCATCGTCGTTGTTGAATTTTATCTCAAAGTCAAAGTTATCAAAAAACTCAAACTTGTTCAAATAATCAGCATAATCAACATTGCTTCTTTCCGCGGGTTTTATTTTTATTCCATTAGCTCGAAGCCTCGTAGCACAACACTTCAACTCTCGCCGCGCGTGCCTCGTTTCGTGTCTCTCCTCTTGGTTTGTTATGGACAAATGAACAAGGTGAAGGAGGTGAGCCACGCCAGCTGTAGGAGTAATCAAAGGGTAGCCAAGAGCTCCCAATGCAAGTTCAGCAACACGATGATCTTCCTCACTGGGAACATCACAGGGGAAGAGTCTCCTATACAACTTCTTGAGAACAATGAAGGGTATTTGATTCTCAAGCAACAACATGTCACTCAAAACAGACAATAGTTTCTCCTGGCTTTCGAATATGGGGTCATCATGGTAATGACTATGGACAAAATAATTGTTGTCGCTCAAGGCATCCATGTACTTGCTAAGCCTGATTAGAAATTCCAACAAGAAAAGACCATCCAGTAGCATTATTTTGGCCAGCTCGTGTGGTTCGGTTTGGATGTTCCCTCCGTAGCTGGCACGGATTATGCTGTCTAACTCCAGAATGGTTGTGCCGCAAATTTTCAACGTAATTGGTCCCTGATCACTTTCCTCGGCGTTTTCGTTTTCCTGTTCTGGTCCCTGTTGACTTTCCTCGGCGTTTCCATTTTCTTGTTCTGGTCCCTGTTGACTTTCCTCGGTTTTTCCATTTTCTTGTTCTTGGGAACGTCCAAGAATATGCAACATGTAACTCCACTTAGGTTGTTCCATCAACATGAGATCGTTTTCGCCTTCGGATCCCCTGTGGTAGGGTCCAATGGAGACAACCTGGGGCTTGTATGCTCCATTGTTTGGCTTGCGAATTCTGTCTGGAACCTTGGAGATGCTGCATGACTGAACTTCTCTGTGAATTATACTACCCAACATCATTTCAATTGGAATCATCCAACTGGTGTTGTCAACATTGATAAGTTTTTGATAATCCATCTCAAAGATTAGATTTAGGAGTGCATATAATTCGCTGTTAGAGGTTCTTTATATTGTGCTGCCTAGGCCCCCAGAAAGTCGTTGTTAATGTTCGGGATAGAATGTGGCCAATACTCATCTCATTCTCGCGACTTTTTCACTTAAGATTTAAGAATTTTCATTTCTTTCCTCTGTTCTATTGTTTTTTATATGGGATGCACTAATGGATAACCTAAACACTAAAAAAAAAGCCTCGTGATAAAATAACTAACATAAAGGAAAGAATAGATTGGACACACTTGACTTGAGTCCTCAATAGTTAATTTTCCGTTATCTTTTTCGAGACATTTTGACCGTGATGATGGTGAAATTACCTTTAACACAACGGGAGGTCCCACATACGAAAATGCCAACTGTGGAGCAGTTGTTGGCCGAGGCTTTAAGACAAGGGCAGGTCTTCGGAGTTGTTTGGATGTGCAATGTATAAGAGGGGCTTACTTTTTTTTATATTATTATTTAAAAAATATAATTTGTTATAAATTTATATTATTTTAAAAATAGATTAAAATTATTATTTTTATATTTAAATATAAAAATGCTCTATAACTATAAAGTTCCGTTATTTTTTTATATATTATTATATTCATAAAAGAATAAAATATATTTTTAATTTTTGTAACACGTTTCGAAGTTTGGTTTTAGTCTCTAAAAAATATTGTCTTATTTTGACCTTTTTAATTTACAAATACACTATTTTTAATTTTCAAAATTATTTATATAACATTTTATGATAAACAATAGTACATAAGTAAATTGAATGAAAGTACCTTTTAAGATTTGTTAATTTTTTTTTAATGTAATAAAATATGTCACTTTTAAATTTTTAATTAAAGATTCAATACATCATTTTAGGAATCTTTAGTTATGTCCTTAAACTAAAAAGAGAATTGTAACCTAGTCTTTCAACTTTTAATATTTTTTAATTTAGTTCATAAGATTAGAATTTTGTTTATAAATAGTGAAATATAACATAATATTTTTTTATATCATACATGTACAATCTTATCAAATTATTATTTTATGTATTATCATGCAGATATAACATGTTTTAATCTATTAAAATACACTACTATAGAAGATAAATTTTACATAAGTTTTTTTAAGCATTTTACACTGGTTTTTGGAAACGATGTAGGTTAAGACAATGTAGAAAGTGTAAGACATATTTTACATCGATTTTATCAATAATCGATGTAGAAATGTGATTTTCTACGTCGAATTTGAAATCAATGTAGAATATGTTGGTTTTATCGATAACCATGTAGAATATGTTTGTAACGACTCGTCGTGGTTGTCACACTACGGAACAACACTAAATACTATTGGGAATATATACTGAAATAGTATAATAAAATATTTACAACACAAGTTGCTAATCAAGCAACCAACATCAACTAGTTATATACAACAAAAAAATTCATCTCCAGGCACCTCCTGTGGCCTCTAGCAGCTATCTCCCAACCTATCCCTGCCCTGCTCCCATACAACATATGATCATCACAGTCCAAACCACATGGAAACATGCAAGGGTAAGCTAGAGACAATAAACGACTCATAATAATTAAATATGCAACACAACTATATAATCATCTTCTCATCCGACACATAAAACAAACAACATATATATATTACACATCTTATCATGATTTCAACTTGATTCCACATATCAACATTGTATCAACACTTCAACGCAACTACTGTACAAATTATTGGAATAGTTATCATAATAACAACCAACACATGTATAAAAGAAACTTACAACATAACAGCGCTATCATCATTCTCAACAAGGTCAGCATGCAACACAATCACAGCTTAACAACAGAACAACATACATACAACTCATATCAACAACAAATCAATTCATCAACAACTTATGCGTCATCAAGCATTTCAACTCGGAGATCTCCTACAACGTGGTGAGTAGTCTAAGTGGCTAGGTCCTACCGAACCGACAACACAAAACCTTTTTGGGCTTGCTAGGTAAACAACAATTTGGATATCAATCCACAACACGATAACGGTTTCTCAGACTTTGCCACTTAAACAAGGAAATATAGTACTATGTTAGGATAGAACAACTAGGTTTAGGCCTACCACGCCATTAGCTAGCTCAACTAAGCCATCTATGGGATTAGCCTACCAACTATCCTCTAAATACTACAACCTTCCGATACTCGGTTAGGAACTAAGTTCTCGACTTTATACTTTACTCGAATTGGCCGCTTGTAATCGGTATAGATCGACTTGACCCCTATATCTTGGTTGCTTTGTACACGTGTGCCTCAACCTTGCCCACACACGGGATCAACTAAGTTCTAGAGGAGAATAACACACCGGCCACTCCAAGGGACAACTTCCCAAGGAGGGTTTTTCAACAAATTGGGCTCTTAGAGCACACAACTATCTCAATCCACACAATGGATGAGCAACTTCGAAAACATCTCTCCTAGTCCTAGTGATCAACAGATAATCATCACAGCTTAATCAGCTTACAACACATCAGCAGAACTCAACTCAATAACTTAAACAACACACAACTCATCTGCACTATTTTAACAACAAATCTTAACAACTCTACAACTCATTTCCTCTTTAATCAACTTTCAATCAACTTTCAACTTAAACAACATGATCAACTCACAACTTTAACAACACAGTTTATCAGCACAACTCATCTGCATTATTTTAACAACAAATCTTAACAACTCTACAACTCATTTCCTCTTTAAGTGACACAATTATCATCTCATTAGCTCAATTATTAGCTCTTGTCAACTTTAGTCAACTTAACATCTTATTAGCTCAACTCATAATTTACAACTCATTCGTACAACCATCAACATACAACACGACATGTGAACCACACAACCTGATTTTCAACTTGAGCAACATAGATTTACTACAACTATCGCATATAACTAAATAGCATATGCACAAACACAACTTTTATCATTTCATCATATTTCACAACATTAAATAATCCACACATAAATATAGCAACTTTAGCAACATACCATGTATTCACACATTCTCTATTTGGCACAACTACTCATTTAATTTACAACACTATACTCAACATGCATCTCTTTATTTCATTTCCTACTCATCATACCTCTTAATGTAATTATACAACTTCATACAACTCAAAATAAATCTCAAATTCAACATAAAATCAACCATGCATCAAAAGCCCCATTTTTTCCAAAATCCCAAAAAATGAGAAAGTTCACAAATCAATTAATGATTCTCAACATTCTTACTCCATATGAGTTTCTAAACTCACATATAAACAAACAATATACAATCTAGCTTCTCTTACCTGGAGATTGACTCTAAAAGTCAAGAATCTGAGAAGAAGAAGAAGAAGAAGAAGAGTATCTCCAAAGCTTGACTCTTGAACTTCAATCCTCCAAAGACAAGCTCTCTAGTCCAGGGTCCTTATCTCTAGAACTTCTCTCTAAAACTTCTATTTTTCCTCAACTGCACCCAAGTCCTATTTATAGAAATTCAAAAGGGGCCAGAACGGCCCGTTCCGAATTCGGAACGGCCCGTTCTGGGCTCCTTCATTGTGAGCAAAATTTACATGCAGAATGGCCCATTCTGAAACCAGAACAACCCGTTCTCAAATCAGAACGACCCATTCCAGAGTTCAAGTTTACTCATAATGACCATTTCAGAACGGCCCGTTCCAGTCTAAAATTTATAGGTCAATTTAGTAGTCGGAACGACCCGTTCCAGTCTGGGAACGGTCCGTTCTAGGCTACTAAATTACCCACATTTGGGCTTTCTGAAACTTGCTACGTTACAATGTTGGTTCTATCAAAAACCATGTAGAATATGTAATATTCTACATCACTTCTATTGGTGGTTCTATCGGTAACAACTTTCATGGGTTATCTACGGAAAAATTTCCATAGATAACATTATCTACGAATTTTTCGTAGAAAACCTTGGTGGGATATAGGACAAAAAAATTTATGTTCTAAGCGATGTAAAGAATATTTGGTAAAAAATAAATATTATTAAAAATTTTCATTTTAAATTTTTTATTTTTATAAATTAATGATGATAAAAAATAACATACTAATATCTAGTTTTAAATTTGATATGAATAAATAAAACAAGGATAAATACATTTTTTGAATTTTATATCTTAGATTTAAGATGAATAAATATATTAAGTTAATTAATAATTTATTTAAAATGTTAAAATTTAATTTATAAAAATAATATTTTAAAAGAGAAGTGTTATAAGAACACAGGTATAACTTTTACTAAGTATATACACACTCAATAAATTTATATTAAATGTGAATTTTATAAATTCAATCGTTAGATTGAAAGTTTTTTTCTCTCAGATCATATATACAAAATTTTATATGAATTCAAGATGATTTGATACTTCATTCTTGTAAAATAAAATTGACGTAATATATACATTTCATAATATATTAAAATATGAGCACTTTGATTACCTTCAAGTTGTTGTTCAATTTTAACAAAACTTGATATAAACATATAAAGTGATATGAACTTTCAATCTAACGGTTGGATTTACAAAATTCACATTTAATATAAAGTTATTGAACAGTGTAATACTTAGTAAAAGTTATACCAGTGTTATTATAACCCTTCTCATTTTAAAATATAAAAATTATTATTTAAACTTTTAAATTTTTAATAGATAATTTAAATTTTATCATAATATTAATTTTAAATAGAAATAAATAGATTTTTAATTATAAAAATAATTATATATATATAAAGATTAATTAAATATAATATAATTATTATTAGTAATATAATTATTAATTATACATATTATTATATATTATAACGGTCTGGACACATCGAAATGAGAAAGATCCAAAGATAGTATAAGTTGATATTGTATAGTTGAGGATGACTTAAATGAATTAATTTGTGCCACCTATACTAACAACATGCATCTGCTTTTTGGTAGCTTATCTCATCAGAACTCCACAGTTAAACATGCTTGACTTGGAGTAATATAGGGATGGGTGACCTTCTGGGTAGTTTTCAAAAATTGTGTAATTAAGGACAAAACAAGCTGAAAAGTGAAGTATTGTGAAATAGAATCCTTGAGAGGCCAAATATGAGTGTTTCGTAGCGATCGAATTTGCGACGTCTATAAAATTTAATAAAATAAAAAATAAATCTTTAGCAACCGATTTAGCGACCGATTTATTCGATCACTAATTTGGTCCCCATACACATCAGCGACCAAAATCATTGCAACCATTTTGCGACCAAAATTTTCGGTCGCTAAACCAAAATTTTTAGTCGCTAAATAGAGATCAAAAATTTTTCAATTACTATATAACTTTGTGACTAAGTTTTTTGTGACTACTTAAATTCGGTCGTTAAGGTAAATAGCGACCGATTTTAACAATTTAGCGACCGATTTTGGTGGTCGCTAAATGCAATTTTTTTGTAATGTTGGTAGAATAGTTGCAAATACAAAAAATTCTATAATATGATTTTTGGTTTGAAAACAGAGATAGGATTTGGTAGGAGAAGAGAAAATGGGCCTTAGTGACTCACGTTGAAAAACAACAATTGAAACATAGGGATTCACCAGCAAAACCTAAGTTTTCCTTTGATTGAGTTTCACCATCTATCAAGGAGAGCACAAGGAGAATGATGTGATTGATCTTGGGTAGCACGATAATCGTCGGGGAGAGTGCGAGAAAAGATACTGTTGTCCGTTGGCTTCCTAAGTAGCACAATGATTGTTGACGAGAGCATGAGGAAAGGGATTTTCATCCCTCACGAGGGTTTGGGTACTGCAATGAGGGTTTAGGGTCGAGAGTTTGAAAAGAGATATGTGCTCCCTAGGTAGTGCGCATCATTTCTACATCGGTTTTTAGAATATTTGATATTTACATCATTTTTATGTAAAACCAATGTAAATATACTTATTATTTTTATTTAATTATAAAAATGTCATCGTATTTTTATTTTACATCATTTTTATTGAAATCGATGTAAATATGGTAATGTAAAATAACATATTTCTAATAGTGATAGTATAAAAGTAATTTTGAAAAAGTTATAAAAATAAGATAAATTTATTATTTTCAACTGTATTAACAACTTTTTTTAATCTTGATGACTGAATTACTAATACGTATTATTTATATCATTTTTTTTGGGTAATGTAATATATTATTTATATATTATAATTCTAACAATATTTTATTCCACAATATTTATATACATAACAACCCATGATACCTCGTGATAATGGCAGAGCTTAAATTAATTATTAAGAGTGACCTAAATCAAGTCGCCGAAGATATAATTTAAAATCCCAGCACATGGTTTCACATAAAAAAATCCCAGCACATGGTTGCCTTTTACAACAACCAAGCGATAATGGAAGAGTTTATAATTAATTATTAATAGTGGATTGAATAAAAACACCAAATAAATGATTTTAAATCGCGCACATAGCTCGCATTGCAAATAATTACGATTAAAGTGAAGTTCATGGAAGGTGCATCAGCCGCCTGAACTTTGAATAAACAATAATAGCTTTTACGTTCCCATTTTGAATACAGGTTATAGGATCATAGTCGCTGAACTCAACCTACATTGGTTATAAAACATGCAAATACCCGCCAAATAAAATGTAATTAAGCGGGAATTAATTTCTATGGCGACGCGAAAAGAAGGAAAGAAAACGAGCAACAGTTCAAAGCCTGAAAATGATCAAGTTTCCCATATTTCTTCTCCTCCAGACTCTGCTCCCTCAATGGCCCCACGTACCAATCCCAAACCTAGAAGCATTGGTTTTGATTCAGCCGTTACTAAAAAACTGAAACATAATTCCCCCAATATGGGAAATAATAAAAAGACGAGGAAACCCTCATTGGATTCCTCTTCCCCCGCCAACGTAAATAGTAAAGAGACCATGCAAAATAAAGACGAAACTGACGGTGGTTCACCAACATCAGTACATGAAGCACACATCCAATCAACCTCTTTATCTGCTTTCCCCCTTGGTAAGCAAACAATTTAATTTTCTATCATTTGTAAAATTTACTTTTATATAGAGATATGATTCGTTAACTTGCTTCTTAAGAAAAATAGGTGGAAGAAAAAGAAGAGTGAGATGAGGTTTGGGGAGAAATTTGTAGATAATCTTAAACTGAATAGTTTTTATGCAATCTCTTTATGATATAATCAAGTGTTAATGATTTTTTTTGTAAGTTAAAAAATTTATATGCATATCAAGTAGTAATTATAGTTGGAACCGTAGATATTTGGTAGTAGTGAATATCTGCTTAATACTTTCTCAATAGGAGAAAAAGAAGAAAACAAAGAGAGAACAAAAAAAAAAAAAAAAAAAAAAAAAAAAAAAAAAAAGAGAAAGAAAAAAAAGAGAGAGAGACGAGATAGAATATAGAAATAAGAGAGGGGGAAAGAAACAAGTGGAAGAGAGAAAGAAAAATAGATGGAGAAAGAAAAAAAAAAAAAGTAGAAAAAGAGGAAAAAAAAAAATATATATATATATATAGAGAGAGAGAGAGAGAAAAGAGAGCAAGAGAAAAAATATATAAGAAAGAAAGAGAAAAGAGAAAGAACATAAACTAGAGAGAGAAAAAAAAAAGAAGAGAGAAAAAAATCAGAAGAAAGAAAACATATAAAAAAAATAGAATTCAATTTAATTTTAATATTTTTTTATTCAAACAAATTATTTCAATGCAAAAAATTTAAAATTCACAAGAAAATAAATTATTTTCTTAAAATATCTCATGGAAACATACTATTAAAAAAAGTGTAAAACATGAAATTCAAATTCCAATTGTTGCAATTTTTAAGGATATTTTTTTCACTGCATTGTAATATATAAATTAATTTGACTAGTGATTGCCTTTTCTAAAAAAGAAATTGACTAGTATTTATTGTTGATAAGCAAGTTTTGAGAGATGAGTCTGAGTTGCTGCAATCATTGTGGAATACGGCAGTGGAAGAATCGTACGCACAACTTACTTCTGAAGAAATTTTCAAAGCAGTATCAGTTAACGTGGAACTCATAAAGAAACGTTTGAAAGAGTTATCAATGAAAAATACTGGGAAGGGAGAAACAACGAACAAGAACACAATAAAGGAAGGGATTGAGATATCTGAGGCAGTGTCTCTTTTGAAGTTGGAGAGAAATTCATTATTCTCTGAAATTGAGATGGCAGGGCAAAAGGCTCGAAGGGCAGCAACTTTGATGATTCAAGCACAAATGATGTCTAGCAAAGCAAGTGAACTACTTGCTCAGAGCAAAAAAATACTACAATCTGTCGACCTTTAAATATGTTTTATAACTATGATGTATGAATATTTGATACTATAATCCATTTATTATAAAAATATACATATAGGTATCTGTATTCATAGCATAATAAATGTTAATTATAACTTTGATTAAATTTCATAAATCATAACAAATATATAATTACAATTTTGCAAATTTAAATTAATTAAGAACAAAATTCTTGTACATAACTAAATTAATGGAGCTGCAAGTATGTTTTTTTTTTTTTTTTTAATTTATGGGAACACTACTAGATTTTAATCCTTTAGCAACATTTTCTTATTTACATTTGTTAAAATGTTACTATATATTAAATAAATGTTATTTTGTAACACTTTTGAAAAATGTCATTATAAATAGAGTAACATTTTTTATTTCAATATTATTCTTTCTAAATGTTTTCAAAATCAAAGTCTCATATCGATTAAATTTTTTTTACATAAGTTATTTTACAACATTTTTTTTATAAAATGTTACTATAATTGCATCTAAAATCAAAGTCCTATATCGAGTTAAAAAAAGTATATTTCTCTTATATCTAATTGTAACCTATAATTAAAGTTCTACATCAAATAAATTAATCTCATAAAGAGTATATATACTCGTATAGTTATATTTAAGATAAATGAAATTTGATATTCTATATATAATCAGTGGTGATTAACTAAAAATGTCTTTCCTTAAAAACTTAAAGAACTCCTAGAAGTTTAGGAGATATAATAATTAATTTTAATATTTAAATTAAAATTAATTATTATTTTATAAAGTTATCAAAATCTTGACAACATCATTAAAATGTTACAAAAATACTATTTTGATAACATTTAACAAAAATGTTACTTAATTATGTAAAAATGTTATTAAAAGTCTTTAGCAACATGAACTATATACAACATTTAATAATATGTTGCTAAAATCAAATTAGCAATATTTATACATAATTAAGTAACATTTTTCAAATGTTGCTAAATACCATTTATGTTGTAGTGGAAATAATGATGATAATAATTGCATTTCATGAGTTAGACGGTATGTGGTTTGTATAGATAAAGATAAAGGTGGAATGAGAGTGAAAGATATAGTATCATTTAACAAAACACTAATTGGAAAGAGGAGGTGGAGAATGTTATTAGAAAAAGAAACACTTTGGGGTTAAAATATTAGAATCAAAATATGAAATAATTATAAGACATGTTCTTACTCTAGATCAAAAGCTTATAGGTTCTCAATGGTAGAAATATTTGTTTAAAACTGTAAATTAATGAAGTAGGGGAGAGACAATGATCTAAGAATCACATTTATGTGTATGTTAAGAATGAGAATAAGGTTTTGTACTAGGAGGACAAGTTGTTGGTGCATGATCATTTGTGCCAATTAATTCTCAAGTTGTATATTTACTTTTAGAAAATAAGTTTAACTTAGTAAGAGATCTTGCTTATTGGCTTGATAATTGTTGGCTTTAGAATTTTTCCTTTGAGAAGGGTATGTTTAATGGAATGGAAACAAACATCCTTTTATGATTTTTTTTTTTTTTTTGTAATTTGCTCAATTTCTGTTTCTTTTTCTACCAAAGCATCAAATAATTGAATATGGAGTGTTGCAACTATAGTTGATCCACGCTTAAGCAAGGTCAGGGGTTCGAATCTTGCCTTGTGTATGCAGCCGCGTTAAATCTTGGGATCAACTATCCTACCCTTTGATGTGCCTCCAACGTAGCGAGGAGATTAGTCTCTGTCAGCGGTGGATACTTCAGGAACGAACCAAAAAAGAGTATATTTCTTAATTAGAGATATGTATATTGTTCCTATTTATCTTGTGTTCAAATTCATTTGGAAAATTAATGTATTGTCTAAAATTATTACATTAGTTGGAGGTTGTTCCATGATATAAGAATCAACGATAAAAAAAAAATTTAAGCAAAAGGAATGTGATGGCTAGTCATTGATGGAGATATAGTTTTTGCTTACAGGGATGTCATTATGTAGAGGACGACTGTTTGTTAATTATGTAACTTCTGTACGCATCCACTTACAGACAATATATGTCAAGCGAGTTTGTTATGTGAAAATTGATTCTGGAAAACCAATTCCAGAGCGTGATTAATAGGGTTTAGGCATATTATATATATACCCGGTGAATCAAAGTCTCTGATCATACGGTAGTATTGGTTAAATTGGATAGTGGCGTTTGTAATTGAGTGTCATTTCTTGGCTGATTATATATATATATATATAAATGTATAGATATTTTTATTTTCTACCACCAGTGAGCGAAACCAGATTCAATATTTTAAATAGGTTATCAAGTTATAATTTTTAAATAAAAAACGTGATTAATAGATAATATCTCACTAATAATAATTAGCTAAAGTTTTCAAAAAAACATTAATGGTTAATAAAATTTGAAGATGCTTTCCATCGGTAACATAATATATATATATATATATGTAAACACCAATTTTGTTCCAACAATGTTCCTAATAATCTCTTTCACAAAAATCTCCAAATCAATTATTCAAAAATAAATGAACAATATATGTATAAAGTGATTAATCATATCTTCTTCCCTCCAAAATATAATACAAAATAAAATAACAAAAATGGAAAGAAATAATAAAGTCAAGGAATGCACAAATGAGACAGAAAATAAAACCAAGTAAGAATCCGGAAGGCACCATTTTGACTTTAGGAGCCAAGGCCTTTCTCTTGTGTCCCTGCACTACTCTCATTCTCATACAAAGTGGTGCAAATCTTGTTCTGTAACTGAAAAGGCTGTCTAGGCTATCTGTGTTGTCTACTTGCAATACTCCAACCACAATAGACAAGCAAGGAGCCTCACGCTCTCTCAAGAGGGATTATTCTCCTTCTGATTGAAAAAAAATTTTATCGAGACAAGAGGAAAAGAGATAAAAAGGGGAACTTCATGAGTGCAGAGGAGACACAACCCATGGTTCGTCTTTTAAAAGGGGGAGGAAGGATTGAGAGGGGGGACCGGGAGGAGGAGAAAGGAAAAGGACTGGTAGCGGGGTAGAGACCATTAAGCAGGGAAGAAGAGACCCATCTGTCGTGCGACGTGGTATGATTATCTAGCTTTCCCCTTCAACGTGCCTTGCACTGTTTATGCGATTTTCAGGCTTCTTCCTTTTGTGAATCAGGAATTTAGTAAAACTGGGATGTGCCATTTTCGTGTGCTTATTGTTTGTTTGTTAATACATAGTAGTTCGCTTGGATTTTAAATTGGGTACTTCGGATTCTTCTTTTTGTTTTTTTGTTTTCTTTCTTTTACCTTTTGAGTAGACTGTGATTGGATTGCTTTGAAATATTTCTCTTTGCGTTGGCAGTGATTTCCCACATGGATTTGACGTGTGTAAGTGGAAGTAAGGTGCGTAATGATGCTTTTCAAAAAAATGGTGCCTAATGAGATTTTTTATTTGCAAATAAATTTCGGTTGATGGTGGAAATCCTGGTGCCAACGTCATTCAACCAAATGCATTTTAATAGTCAACTAACAATGTGGCCTCCAGCATATACTATTGTTAAAGAGTTTAGATTTTTTTGAAATTTTTTAGCTGGATCAAAATGATATAAAAAAAATTATATAAAAAATTTGAGTTTGACATTTAATTAATACTTTTAGTATCATTATGTCTGAAAATGATAATACAGTGTTTGAAATAATAATAGTAATAATAAAAATAGTCACTATTATAATAATAATGATAATAGTAATAATAATTTATTTTTTATAATATCTATCTTTTTTAAAAAAAGATTATTTTTATGTGGTATCTCCTTAATCTTAGATGATGATATTTATTTTCTTGTTTTAACAAAATTAGTCTAATTGATTTTATTTGATTAAGTTATTTTTTATAAAGGTGCTAGATATTTATAATAATCAGAACAACAATAATAGCAATTACTGTAATATTTCTATTATTAATATTAGTATAAATTATATCTATAGAAAAAAGATTATTTGAATGTGACATTCCTTTAATCTTAAAACTCAAGGATGTAAGTTATGACAACTTATTATCATTATTATTTTATATTTAAAAAAAACAATTAATTCAAAATATGATTAAAAATCAAAATATAATATTATAATATTCAATATAAATATTTGAAGTATTAGTATTAAAAATTTTATTGGAAGATGGTTAATTAGATGTGACATCTTTTTGACCTTTGAATTTAAAGTACAAGCTGCTGTGACAGCTTATCTTTAAATTTTTTCTCAAAAAAAACAAAAATGTCCAATTAATAAAAATTTTAACATCATAACAGCAATAATTGTAATTAAAACTTTATTGAATTGACTTTGGTGTACACCTTAGTCAATTTTATATTTTTAGGGTGAATGAGCTGAGATAGTTAAAAAATCCTATATTTAAGAAAAATAAAATTTAATTAAAAATATCAACACACAAATATTTTCTACTAAAGAACTACGTGACTCTGATTCTTCATTACACATGAAGATACGTAGGAGCAAGAACTAAATCTTGTCGAGCCAAAAAATAAAAAATATATTATTTTCTTTTTTATATAACAATAATAATTTTAACCTTTTTTAAATATATTGGTTAAGTTAGTTTAATAAAATATATTTAATCATTTTTGTGAGATAAATATTTTATAAATTATAAATAATTAGTTTAATTAATTAAAGGTAATCGTCTTAAGACGAACGTTGTGAGGTGCTAATACCTTCCTCACACGTAATCGACTCTTGAACTCAAAATTTGGTTTTCGTAGACTATTTTTCTACTTTATGGTTTTTCCAATGTTTATCCGTAAAAAAAAAATAAAAAATAACATTGGTGGCGACTCTTCTTTTTTCAATTTATTTTTTGTCGTCCCGTCGCGACTGAGGTTGCTACAATATATATATATATATATATGCCACTTTTAATAAATACATTTCTCTTCTCAATTTTTTTAAAAAAATCCTAAATACTCTTTTAATTATTCATTTTTAAAATAAATTTTACTTCCAAATGTTATCTTCTTTGTTCACTACTCTTTCTTGACTCATTTTCTTCTATTACTTCTCTCTAATTATTATTTGGTTTTTTTTATTTCTTCTTAATTTTTTTTCAACAATCAAGATACTCACTAGTCATTTGTACTG